TAGAACAAAAATATCTACAGCTGGTTTTAAGTTGCTCACCGAGATCTGAAACTCGTCCCAGTGCATTCGCAGGCTTCTAATATTGACATGAATTAGCGTTAATGAGCTTCCAGAAATAGGCCCCAAGACCTGATGAAATGAATTGCAGTTCGGAACCGAAAAACAAAATGACATGGCTTACAGAACCTTCTCGAGGTCTCCAACTGAGCTATACGCACGGCAGGAGAGCCTACGGCTTTCCTTGCGAAAATTTTGCCGTTCTTCAGCCATTCAAACCAAAACCCACTTTCTCCGCCCTGAGCTCTTGTCTTCCAGAAAAGTTCCCTATTTGCATGTGTAAGATTATCGTTGAAGAATAACCTTGGATCGCTATCAGTTTGACACAGCCCCTGCAGTTTACCACGCGCAGCCATCCAACATTCTTTCAGGGAAATTGAAGCAAAGGTAGTAAGAACGGGTGGAACCGTACCATGCTTCCTCGACAGGCGATGAATTGCCACGACGTCCGATGCATGAAATGAAGGAATGTTGATCTTCTGAGAAAGATCTTGCACGACGTTCATCAAATTTTCTCCAGAAGCAAAAGGAAGGCCATGTAATTCCATATTGAAACTGCGCGCCTATATTGTTGCGATTCATTAAGTTCTTCCTTAAGCCTAGAGATGTCTCGTGCTTGCTCCTTCAATACAGCTTGGACTGTGGAAACCTCCTGCTGCAAACACTTAACAGAATTCTCGTTTGTCTTTGCGAGAGTCAGTATATGATCGTATTTGGAACTGAACGAGTCGACAGTTGCTTGAAGAGTGCCTACCGTAGTACGCAGTTCCTCGACCACAGGCTTTAGGTGTAGCAACTGGTCGACCTTCGCCGGAAGAGGCAGAAGGCTCTCGACGCTGGTTTTTAACGAGAGTAGCTGATCGAGCGCGCATTTAATTGAGGATAGTTGCTCCCGTCGGCTCAAGTCAGGCCTGACAAAATCGTCCGTGGTATTGCCACCATGCACAAGCTCCAGAGCCTGAGCGAAGCTCACCTTTACGGCATGTCGGACACCTCCAACTCTCCCGTCTAGCAGCTCCCATTGCCATAAACGTGGTATCGGAGACACCGGAGCAGGGCTTCCCCAGGTGATAACCATTTCGACAATAGACGCATGTCAAAAATCTTCCGTCGGACGGTAGCGGTCGATTACACTTAATGCCTTCCATTAGACTCAGAAATCGGGGAGTGGTTACACAGACACTAAGGACGCTGCAACGGCGGTCAATGAAAAACACTGTGCAGTCGGCGGCAGAAAAGACAGAGCAAAAAAAAAAAAAAGAAACTACTTAAAATTTAGTGATCCCTGCTTCTCACCTGGACAGATTGCCGTGATCAGTACTCGACAAAGATTAGCCACCGACTGCGCTCGATGCTGATCTGGTAGCTTCTTTTATAAGCTGCGATGATCTGGTAGACGAGGCAGGCGCCACCTCGTGGTAGACAGTGCTCGAAGAGAGTCGTGACCAAGCAGGACACGTGTGGCTCAATATGTGCTGACTGCAGAATTTCCCGGGGAGACCATGATGACTTGGCAGACGTTCGTAGTCGCTCGAGTGCCGCCTGGATGATGGTAATAATAATAACGATTGGCCACGTATTCGATGCAGGAGGAACTAATCGTTAGCTGCTCACGAGCCTTTGCTCGTCAGTAACTGTCGAGTCACACTTGGATAGAAGCGTTGGTATTGGCAAGCTCAATCTAGCTAAAACAAGTGTGCGGCGCTTTCCTACACAACTGTGCGCTTGTAAACAGCTAAGAAGACAGCACGTCATTTACTCTGGTGAATGCAAAACCTTTTTCTACGGCATCCTCTACAGATCGGAAAAAACAAGAAGCTGTGAATAGCCGTGACGCACGCCGCGCAAGCTGTAATGTTAACCTCCAGGAGTAACTTTGAACATTTTAATGTTGTTGCTTTTTTATTACGAAAAGCAACTTTGAGGCGCTGTTATTCATTACAAGGATCAATCACAAAGACTTCATACTCGTTTCTTAAATAAGTAACACGTTTTTAGTCGGCATAGATGCGAACTAACACATCCACTCCGTGTTTTGACACAGCGCGTCGTCTGCTCGCATCCTACCAGCTGCGTCACAGGAGGGCACCCGCAACGTGAACGACAGTTGTATGATGTCACAACAGGAGGGGACGTTCTGTTTTCCGCCAGATAAAGTGCAACGCAGAAGTCCGATCGTCATAACACCCTCGCTTCGCCGATCGGAATTTTCAATCGGGCTAACGCGCTGCATGACGAACCTCGCTGTATACGAGAATGTGTTCCAGCGCAAACACGTACCTCTTACTACGTCGCTGTGAGAAAATTGTCTACGGGAATGATCGAAACGCAGTCCGGTGTTGGTATTCACTGAGCCTGCAGGTTCGATTTTGCCAGGGAACGCCACCGTCGATCCGCCATTTTCGAGGTCGCGGCGGTCGCAGTTTGACGTTTGACTGGCTTGGGTATGCGGTCGTCCGTTGTTAGTGTGTGCTAATTTTATATCGTTGAACAGAAAAGGGAAAGCAGTCTATCTCGGGGGCGGGTCGTTTTAATTCCTTTGTTGCCGCCGAGTACCGTGTGTAAAGGCTGAACCGCATGTAAGCAATTTAGCGAGCGACGAGACGAGCGACGGCGACGAGACAATTTAGCGACGGCGACCCGCTTCGCTGTCGCTCGGTCACTCGCGCGACGAGGCAAACCGCATGAAAGTGAAGGGAGCAAGCGACCAAGGCGATGAGCGACGATTTCTAGAAATCTAAAAACCGAACGACGCGACGAGCGACCGTGAGAAATCTTCGTCGCTCGTCAGAGACACCCGTCGCTGTCGCCGTCGCTCGCTAAATCGCTTACATGCGGTTCACCCCTCACTGTCGCTCGACGCGTAGCTCGGTTTTTGGATTTCTAGAAAACTTAGCGCTTATCGCCTTGGTCGTTGCTACCATCGCTTCCATGCGGTTTGCCTCGTCGCGCGAGTGACCGAGCGATAGCGAAGCGGGTCGCCGTCGCTTGTCTCGTTGCTCGCCAAATCGCTTGCATGCGGTTTTTAAATCGTTTGGGCTAATGAAAAATGCGGCGTATTTTCTATTAGCTGCGCACTCGGTGAGCCGCACGGTATGTTTCTGCACATGAACAAACACCGAAGGCACGACGTACGACACGGAGGCGAAGGAGCAACGCCGTTACACGGCCGTAGTGCAGAAAATCCGCAAAAAAAAAAAAAAAAAAAAAAAAACAATAAAGAAACTAGCAAAAAAAAAAAAAAGAGTAATCACACCGTGCTACAAAAGCACCAAAGTGGAAAAATCAGTTCTTGCAAAGGAGCTACCGCCGTGGGCACGGCGCGCGACACGGAGCGCTGCTTGCGAACGCGGCAGCGGTGGAAAAGTCTGATATCGACCAAAACGAACTAAAACACACACTCAAAAAAATTCTACGGCGCTTCAAAGGCACCAGTCTAAGAATAGCCCCTAGTTTCGGCCAACAAGACTCTTTAAAGTTCTAAAATGCTGCTAACCCACGCTGAAAGGTCCGGCCAGACGATACCTGACACGTCTACGCGGGATAGAAGGAGACCTCGAAGACGGCGACCATGGCGACCGTGGTGGCCGATGCCAGCGCACCTACCGAGTGACGTCAAGTGAATTTCACCAACTCATGATTACAAACAAAGTGGAGCGCCTCTAGCGGCACGCCACCAGCGCCGCGCATGCGCGATGGAGTGTGAGCAAGATGCACCGCGTCCCGCATAAACGAACCATTGGAATGTGATATTGTCGGCGTCGGTGTGAGTCTTTGTGCTTGTTTCTGCATTGAAATTGTTGATTCTACGTCATCCTAGCAATGTCTTACTACTTTAGTGGCCTGAGCGAAATTAAGGAGGCTCGTTAAACCGCGAAAGTTTGCGTAAATAATGTGACGTGCGGCGTTTCATTCCGCGTGAACGCCGCAGAGTGGACGCTAATGCCTGATTCACATAGATTCTGCTCGCTATTTTCAGTCGCGACGTCGCTCGGGCTGCAAAAGCGCAGACGGTGACTACGATGCTCGACGTCGATACTGAAAATCCCATGCAGAATCGGACCAAGTGAATCCAGCATAACAAGTCAGTGATGGCCACTGGGAACAATATTCAACGTCTTGTATGTACTCTATCCGCGTATTATACTTACCTCAAATAACATTCAAACTTAAAAGTATTCTGAGGCCTGCACTCACTTCTTATCGCAATGTTTTGTCTACTGGCCGATGTCGTTTGGACGAGCAGGCGACAGTTTGAACGAGTTTCAAAGAGCAGGATCGATCGATCGGATAGGATCGATTGTGGCCTCTTTTGTGGTCTATCTCTTCTCTGCTGAGGGCCTCTCTTAATATCTTTTTACCAACGTTTCCGATACCGCCAGCAAGGCTGACGAAGAAGACCCCGTAGCCGCAAGTGCTGTCCTGCTGTCCAAAGCTCTCCTTCATAGAATCGTGGCAGGAATTGTCTAGAGCAGCCCGTATGCACGAGGACGCGAAGCTCTTTTTCGCAATCTTGGAGTGCGAAAAACCGAAGGGAAAAACTCCCTTCTTCGTACCAGAACGATAGCTCCAACACGCCCGACTTCCTGTCACAGGAAGTCACTGAGGCCATGCCCATTGGAGTGTTACACACATATCGCTCTTCTCAATGGTTGAACTGGTGAGATGAAGAGAGATGATTGAAGCACCAGATTCATCGCGCGAACTTTAAGGACCCTCGACGTCTTTCTATTTCACGACAATTATTCTTTCAGCGAACAGAACGTAAGAAAATTGTTTTTCTCGGTATGGATGAGTCGTGAGTATCGTCATTTTCAGCTGTGTAAAGGTCAAACTTCAGCTGGCTCTTCTGTATGAGTAATTCTGATGCAGATTTAGTTAGTAATAAAGTCGACTTTTGCTCGTCAGTGTCTTTTCAACTTCCTTTGTTATTTTTTCTTCAGACGATGTCGACCACCTCGCAAAAGCGTCGCAACTTTGTCTCCGAGCCCATGGGCAACAAGCACGTGTCGACTCTGCCTGGCATTGGCGAAGCCCTGGGAGAAAGACTGGAAAGGAGGGGATACGACAAGGTACGTACCGCTTCCTCCCAAATCAGAAGAGAGACGCTGAAACTAAATAGTAGGGTACGCGTTGTTGGGCTACTTGGTTCATCTTAGTCAAACAAATCCTTTACTAGAACATTCTACTGCGCTCATTGGCATTAGACAGCCTAGACAGCGCGCCGACGGCGCCGGCCGTGCGGGTTGGAAACCCTGTTTCTGAGAGAACCCATGCGCATCACGCTGTAGCGCTGCACCGAGGGGGAGATCTGACGACGACGCACCGAGATACCGAATTGGACAAGACAGCGGAGACGGCTGCCATCACCCCTCCCAATTCAAAGAGAGAATCCACGGGGCTGCGTGTGTCTAGCCCTTTGGTGGCAACGGCTGTCGACGCCAAGGCCATCGGGATTGTGCGGACTGAGATGCATTCCCTAGTGAATTTCGTGGCATATGTGTCTCATCACAGCAAGGAGGTCTAAACCTGGAGGAGCCCGCGTGACGTTTCACGAAGCGTGCTGGAACTTGCCCTTTGTTGGGATATCGCTAACCAGCCGAAGTTCGAGTTCGACCAAGTTCGACAAAATCTCGACTGAAGTTCGACTTTCGTGCACAGCGCATGCGCGAAATTTTTAAAGCGAGCTGACACCACCTGGTGGAGGAAAAGTGCAATATTTTTTTATCTGTCGCTTCACTGGTTGGCATTACTAACGACAGGATTAATCGTACACACTTTTTTTTTTTTAAATTTCATATCGTGTAAACATTGGGAATGATTTTATACAATAAAAAAAAAAAACTACTTTCTAATTTTTTTTTTTTTTTAAATTTGAAATATTCGTGTAAAAGCCAGGCACCGCAGTCCGCTAGTCGAACTTCGTCCAATTTCGCATAAAGTTTCGCCGAGTCAGACGGAATGGAACAATGCACGAGATATCGCTGCTTTGAAGCGTTCTTCCGCAGAACGAGCACCACTCGCGCTGGCGATCCACGTCTTATTAAAGCCAAAAGCGCGGGCTAGCTCGCGGTTCTAGTCTGGGTTGCAGTCTCAGCTTGAGGGCGGAGTATAGTCCTTCGCTTGCTATCCAATACAGTGTTCACGACTGGCTCAGTTCTTGGAAGACCAGAGCAAGTCACCGCGACGTCCGTGCTTCGTGTGTCGCATGAAAAGCTGCTCCTCGAATCAATCATTATCTAGCGGCGAAATGTTTTAGTGGCGCCCTCCTACGGTTCCCCCTTGTGACGTCATTACCTTGCGAACAACAAGTTCGATGGTGTTTGTAAATAGCATGGTGGAAGCTTGAAATCATTGCGCTCTCAAAGGAACACTGCCAACACCGTCAAAATTAAAGTTCTTACATTACTCTTATTTCCGTCGATGATAAGCCCTTTCCGACGTCATAGTCAGGGTTCGGTCAATCGTGGAAGGCCGACCACAGCGACGCTTTCGGTCGCGCACGTCGCCAATACGAAACACGGATGACCAGGTGACTTATGGTCGTAACGCGGCGTAAGTAAAGACTTGTAAAGACTAGCGCCACTGAATTCATGACGTGTTTTGCGCGTTCGCACAATTATGGTTCTCCGTACTTGGAAGAAACACGAAGCGTGCATTTTATTGAGGCGAGGTGTTTTGGTGGCGCCCTCCTATGGTTTCCTCTTGTGACGTCATTACCTTAGGAACAACGAGTTCAACGGCGTTCATAATTAGCATCGTGGAAGCTTGAAATCATTGCTGTCTCTAAGCAACACTGACAACACCGTCAAAATTCAAGTTCTTACATTACTCTTATTTTTTTTTTGTCGATGAGAAAACCTTTGCTGACGTCATAGTCACCATTCGGCCAATCGTGGAAGGCCGACCGAAGCGACGCTTTTGATCGCGCACGTCGCCAATAACGTAGTCAAAGCAGTTTTACACTTTCTATCACCGCACAGCTAGCACTACTTTAATGAAAGCATCCCTATTCTCGCATATTCTTTCTCTTCGTCGAAAAATATCCCCTCTATGTTTGTTCCCTAAGATTTATCACTCTTAGCGTACTCTCCGCCAAGCGCTATTTTCTGAACTGTTTTACGTATCATCGTGCACCGATCCTCAACTAAAAGTCGAGATCCCTGCCTCAAACCTCGATTGACTGGAACTGCCTTCCCGCAGCCATGGCCAAAATCGCTGCCTCGGATAATTTTAAAATTCTCATTTCTAACCTGCCAAATTGTGTTTCGTAAAAATTTCCTGTGTATTTTTTTTTTTTTTTTGCATTTTCGTTATTATTTTTTTTTTTTTTTCTACATGCTGTGCCCCACTCCTTTCTGTAATGCCTTGGGGCCCTGAGAGGTATAATAAATTAAATTAAATGGAACGCCTAAAGCCTGGTTCGCAGACTGGAAAGGGGCCCTAATCTGGACACTTGGCGAAAAAGTCGGCAAGAATAGCCCTATCGCTAAATTACCCAAGCACCAAAGAGAATGCAGGGATCGGTGTTCCACGCGCCGCAGGTGCTGGCCTCGGCAGTAGCAACTTTTCTAAAACAAATACCTAAAACAAATGGCATCTCGCACGCGCGTTCATCAACGCTTTATTTTGGTTATTTAGGAACACCAATCCCTGCATTCTCCTTGATGCTTGGGTATTATAGCAAATGGTCTATTTGGGCGGCTATGATTGTCCGGCGCCAAGGTGAAGCGCGGTGTTGGCCAGCAACGGCCGCCGGAATTCTCTACGACTTCTTCGCCCCCCAAATGTCCAGATTGGAGCCCCTGGGCGCCGACATCGGCGGTCCCGAGACAAGGAGAGCGACAGAAGAGCGAAGAAAAAAAGCAGCCGAAAGGTGTTCGTTTTGCCGCGACGAGTTGAAATTGCTCAAGGGCTTGTCCACTTTTAATTTGGGTATTTTCCAAGGTGTTGCCAACGATATCGGTTCATCGGGAGTCCGGGACCACCAACTCAAGAAGGTAGGGCGAGGGAATAAAGGAAGGCCCAAGAGGAGGAAGCAGACAGAACGCTGGAGAGGGTAAAATCTCCTCCTCTCTCCAGGGTTCCACCTGCTTCCTCCTCCCCGGCCTTCCTTTCCTTAGCCATACCTTCTTGATTTGCAACGGGCTATATATTCTTCTATTAATCAGGGAGGATAAAGCTTCTGGAGGGTACATGACACCACTAGAGCTGAAACTGGGGGAGACTTGGGTGTGAAGGGACTCGCCCCCCACGATGACCAAAAACCATGAGACACCATGGGAGGGAAAGGACAGCCGATTTCGCACCAACAGCGCTTTTGGCCAGGTTTGGGTCACCCTTGGGGGCGTTCTCACCAAGCGCGTCCTCCGGCTTGTGATGTTCTCGTTAGGCAGGCTTGAGCTGGCCTCCCCTTCTTCTTACCTCCACGATAATAACTCCGTGGTTCACACACTTAGGACTCAACACACTAGCGTCATCCATCGGGTGGCCGTGGAACACCTGGGATTTCCCTATATTCCCTTGCTTTTTTGTTCGCGCAGCATTCTCTCGTTTTTGGCGTAAAAAAACTTTTAACAATGTTATACACAGCCATTTCACTTCGTATACATTTCATCTCGCAAGAAATGAAAAAAAAAAACAAAAAAAACCTTTGCTGTAGCGAAATGCAGTGCCAGGGCCACCTTATAGATGGCGCCAGAGCGCCAGGGATGCAACCGTATACGCAAGTGTGTGAACCAGCGCGTGTGGATAAAAACGGGCATCGGACGACGCGAAGAGGTGATTGAAGATGCCACCTCACCACTTTCTCGCCATGTCTGTTCGCTGTTTCCAGGCCTCCAAGCTTCTGGGCGAGTTCCTCGTTCACAACAAGGACAAGACGCTTTTCACGGAAACATTGCAGAAAAACTGTGGCGCCAACCGCAAGCAGGCATCGGACTGCTACGACGCCTTAAAGGACTGGAGCGATGCGTTCCTTTGAAGTTAGCCGCAATACGAAAGGTTTGCGTAGTAAAAAAAAAAAAAAAAAAAAAAAAAGAAGAAAACTGCTATATTTATCTTGGCGTTCGCATTTCTTTCTGATATTATAGGTGGAGATGCGGGTCAAAAAATGAAAATATTTTGCAAAAAGTGTGATTTTATATTGTATGGGCTTTAATTACTTTAAATTTTCATATCTTTGTAGAAAAAAAAAAAAAAATAAGTGCCGGTAATGGTCGCGAAATTAGTCAACTACCCATTTCAAGACCTCCCGGGAACCCAGAACAGCATGCATTTCGGCCATTTTTCTTTGCGTGGTTCTTCAAATTCGGACGTGGGCCACCATCATATTTACTTCGACAAGTAGCCCTAGCCGTCCCTCTCCAATAGAGTCTTCTGTAGCTTACATTTCTCACAAAAAATTATTAGCAAAATACTATCCGCGAAAGAGTGTCCCTAGATATCTAAGATAATATTCCAAACGTGTTTTTCACTTTATGTGATTTTGGGGAATCTTCACAGTTTGCACAAAACAGTTCGTTTCTTTATATTGCCCTATCACAACCAGACTTTGCATGCATATACTTAAGAATATGTAGAATGAAACTTTCTAAGTTTTGTTTGAATGTATATATTTTACATTTATTAAAAATTCAAGAAACTTTTGTTAGCCCCTTGAAGATGTCGTTCTCGCTGTTTGTAATTGTTTAAAAATATTTTTCTTTATTGCACTTAGTGGTTTAAAAGGAAAACATTTGTTTATTTTAGTAGGCTCTTTTAAGTGTGTTGCCATGCCCCAAGTAGCTGCAAGAAAATTCTTCTATAGCGAAAGCATTAACTGTCTCATAAATAGCGAACTGATGTCATCAGCTTCGAAGCCGCGCCAAACGGCACCTTAAAGGGCCGCCCACACTAGCGAGAAAACGCGCTTGGCACGCCGATCGCGGGAAGTAACAAAAAGTCGCCGTAGCACAGTCAGCGCCACGAGCGCGTGCAGCTAGAGACACGCCCTTTATCTTCCCGCTCAACCGATTTTGCGGAACGCGTCTTCAACGCGGTCGGCGCGCCGCACGCGTTTTCTCGCTAGTGTGGGCGGCCCTTAAAGGCCGGTTCACACATACAGCGGAGCGCTAAGTTAGCGCTACGTGAGCGCTCCAAGGAGCGCTCATGTGGCGCTTCCTAGCGCGTGATGTAGCGCTTTGTTAGCGCTTCAGAAGCGCTTAGTTAGCGCTCTGTTAGCGCTACAGAAGCGCTTTGTTAGCGCTCTCACGCTCCTTGTGCTGTGCTTGCTGCTGCGGAACAGCGCGTGCACGGCGATTCCTTTGATGTTTTTCTTTTGGCATTGAAAGAAGAGGAAGTAAAACAGCCGCTCTCCAAGCAAAGGGTCCGGCAGGCGATCCAGAGTCATAGACTCTGAGCGACCAATTGGTTGGGTACGACCTCATCGCTTTCTATTCGATATGCGTGACCCTAGTTTCAAAGACGCGCAGTTAAAAATAATCGCCTTCGAAAGAGCTCTGCGTCTCGGTCCCTCAGCCTGGGAACAAGGTTCGCCGGGTACCCGTCGGTATCTCGATGGCGAAAGATTTCGCGCACCCAGAATGGTCTTCTGGGCGTTAAGCCGTCCACACCGTATGCAATAATCACGTATCTAAGAGCATTTGTCGCATTTCTATTTCAGCATTCCACATGTCCGCCATGGTGCTGCTGACGCACACCCAACCACAGGAACCGGTACCGCAGTGCACGAACTAATCCGCAGCACCGCGGTACAAGAAGCGCTACAGAAGCGCTAACAAGGAGCTACTGGAGCGCTAACAAAGTGCTACCGGAGCGCTAACAAAGCGCTACTGGAGCGCTAACAAGGCGCTACAGAAGCGCTAATCGCGCGCTATGTTAGAGCGAAGTCACGCGCTAGGAAGCGCCACATTAGCGCTCCTTGGAGCGCTCACGTAGCGCACCTTAGCGCTCCGCTGTATCTGTGAACAGGCCTTAACTCCCCTGTCCCAAATGGAGCGAAGTGAAGCCGCGATCCGATGTATAGGCTCGCATTGGCCGGCGTGCGCGTCATCGTTTCAAGGAACAAGGCTCCCATTGGCTCTCGCGTGGCGTAGTTCCAAGGGGCACCACCAGAGATGCGCTCTACATGGCGGCGCTGCGCACGCAGCGGCCCGGCCGCACAGCGCGCTCTGGCAAACTACGGAGAGAGAGAGCGCGAAAATTTTTATTTCCAACGACGCTTAGTCCGCGTCATCTATACATGTCTTTTGTCGGTAGTCAGCCAGACGCCGGTGCTGAGGAGGGTTGCCTGGTCTTCTTGATGTGGACAATGTGCGACACTAGCTGAGGCCACAGCGTGGGTTGTGCTTCCCCGGGTGGGGTGATCCCAGTTTCCCAGTTGACGGGTGTGTGTGTGTGTGGGGGGGGGGGGGGGGAGGGGGGGGGGGGGTTAGCATAGATGAGGTGTGTTAGGAGAGGGATGACTGTGCACAGGGAGAGCTCCAGTAGGTATAGAGGGCATCGGCGTAGCACCCGCACACCTGGCAGAATGTGTGGCCGCGACGCTGTTCAATTCAGTGTTGGATGGTGTCGTTAGGAAGGGTGAGCGTCTGGGCCTACAGGATGAGGGATGCGTCATGAATGGTAAAGAGAGGAGGTTGGGCAGGGGGGGTCCGTGCATTCTGGTGCAGGTCTTTAAGGCGCACATGGCGTTGTTTCCGGTGCTCTGCACGGTGCGCCTTAGGGCAATAGGTGTCCGGCCACGCTATATGGTTGCTCGGTATTGAGGCTTTACGAGCAAGGGCCAGAAGATGAGAGTTGGATGGTCCTCCATGTTGACAACGGAGGATGTATGTTGATTGACAGCGGAGAGGACTTCTCCGGCCCAATTTTCCAAATCGGCGGTATCGTCAAGTGACCCTCAAGAAGCGTCGTTGCCTTGGTCCAGTTGGTGATTCGGGTGGTACGGGTGGTACGTTTTGCTGCCGCGGGTTTAGCCTAGAAACAGATTAATTTCTATAATAGGGCGGTCACTGCCAAGAGCAGGGTATCGGAACGAAACGAAAACCAAAAACGAAAAACGAAAAAAACGATATTTTTGGGCGGAACGGAAACGTAATCGAAACATTATTTATTATTTTGTTCCGGAGTGAAACCGAAAAATTTCTTATCGGTTTTCGGTTCAAGGGAAAATATCAGGTATTTCAGTAATTCGTTTCACGCAGCGAAGAGACAGCCGTTGGTTTGTACCATAATTAAAGAGAAGACAAGCAAGCCATCGCCCCCGCGTCTAAACTCCGGGCGAACAAGCATAGTAAAAACAAAGACAAAAAATACAGCGAGAAACAAAAAACATGACGCAAGGCGCCATTGCTTCCCACCAACGAGAGCGCGGTGGCGCGACGCCTCCACACGCTCGCAATGCTCTCCTTGGCTCTTGCGCCCGCTCCCTCCATGCTTTCTTCGGACGACACGGACAGACAACAGATCACGGCAAGCGCGGGAAGTTTGTGACCCGGCGTTGTAGAAGTCCATCTTTTGTATTTCTACGGATACGGCAGTCTGAGACTCTGTTGCAAAAGTGTACTTCTTCATCCCTATGGGCCTTCAGGGCCTTCTCGGCGCTGAAATTTATTTTATCGGACCAGAGGTCTTGCCTTTCACCGAGCACACTTGATGACGTGCTGCTTCTGAGATCATGCTCGGTGCCTTGATCATGATCTCATTCTCAAGGCAATGAACATGATCTCAAAAGCAATGTCGTTTCCGCGGATTCCTCTAGAGCGCCTGAATTATCTATTTTTGTGTAAGAATAAACGCTACGTTCTTTTTAATTTTTGTTGCGATTTTTTTCATAGAAAGAAACCGTTACGAACCGTTACGGAGCATTATTTTTTCGTTCCGGAGCGGGAACGGAACGGAGCTTGTTTGTATGGAACGAAAATGAAAACGGAACGAAAAACATTTCGTTCCAACACCCTGGCCAAGAGCGTCTTGGGTGTTTTCCCACGTGATGTTCTTGTGACTGAGCGCCCAAGTGAGATCGGGGTTAGTATCCTGTTCTCGCAAGTTTCCTATTCTGGTTAGAGTGGTGTGCCATTAAGCGGTGAGACATGATGATTACTCACGAAGGTATCTAACTTGAGGCCGATTGCAGAGGTGTTGAAGTATAGCCCCACGCCATGGGGGACAGTTGCGTGCGTTCGGGTAGGAAACGTTCGCGGAGGGGTGTAAACTTTGGCAATTTCCAATCTTTCTGGCCTGGAGCCCAGTAGCTGTTGAGCAGTTCCAGCGTATGGCCGCCGAGATCTGTATGAGTACACGTGCTCGCAGGTCGGGGTGTTAATATGGGATGTGTCGATTTAAATAGTGGGCAGTCTGTAGTAGATCGCCATGGTGGGGACAATTAGGTCTGGGTTGCTTGCGCGTGACGTTGGGTGCGACGAAGTGGGCGTAGCCACGCAAAGAAAAAAAACGACCACATCTCCACGTGGTGAATGATGTTGATTGGGGTGAAGCTCTGGTGGTGCTGATGATACTGATTTTATTGTTCATAGGTAGTGCTGATGGCGCTGATTTTTTTTATTGCTCATAGGTAGTGCTGAGTTCCGGGTTGCGTTTCCACTTCATTATTACTGCTTTATTGTCGGTGAAATGCAGAGCCACTGGTTCTTCTAGCGGATCAGCTTGGATCCGCTAGAAGCCGTGGGAACGCATCTCCACCGCTTAACCCTCTCATGCATAGCGGCCTCATATGAGGACATCTAATTAACAAAATAAAGATGTATAAGTTCTTCCTTCTAACAACTTTCTCTATGCATGATGTCCTCAATTGAGGGCCGGAGAAGCCTCACAGTATGTTTCATAGATGGCGTTAGTCGTCTGTGCCATCTTTTAAAATTCCCGCCTCCGGCTTGGCGGGAAATATTGAATCTTGTAAAATTCGGAAATAAAAAAAATCCAAACTCAGCCGCAGTCATTTGTATCAGTCTATGTTTTTGTCTTTGGGAGAATAACCATTTATTTGACGT